AAATTGGGACAGCCATGGGTTTTTTAATTATTACGATTTAAAAAATCAAAAAATAAATATTTTTTTCAAAAATAGATGGCGCTCCTTTACAAAATAACGTGTTTGGTTATAATTATTATTTTTAACCTTTTTTCATTTTTAAACATGAATAATATGATTTTCCAGCATTAATATCAGGGAAAAATATTATGTAGATCGTTTGATAGGCTTACTTATTATTATAGCTATATTGATAACTTGTAAAATTAGTTTTTATAATAAATGATTAAATTTCCTAAAAAGATGGTTAAAATTCCTATATCTCCTACAAGAAAATATAATAATTAATTGTTGAAAGATAAAAGCAAGTTTTCATGCACCTGCCCTAAAATTAATTAATTTTATTTTACAAATATTTTGATATTAATTATTTTTCTTCTTAAAATTATTTATAATGTATAAATATAAATGCGTAAATCCTTTTAAAAAAATCTAAACACTTTAATTATAAAAAGAACCTGCGTAAAGTCATGACGTGGATGACACAATATCCAAACATTGAGGCGGAACATTATATTTGTGATAAATGTCGTAAACGGTTATCACAAAAGAATATTGAAAATATAAATATTCTGATAGCTAATATGTAAATAATATCAACACAGCATCAACATCAATAGATACAATTAATATAACTTAAAACGATATTGGAATATCTCTTATTAAGAAAAAAAACTAACCGAAAAAAATTATCCAAAAAAAAGGTAACAAAAATATCAAAAGCTATTTCAGATATAATAATTAACAATCCAGAATCGGATACAAAAGATAATAATAATATACTCAATAACATGAAATTACAATATCCTAATTTATCTAATAATAAAAAATATCAATTGCTGACCATTCTGCCTCCTAATTGGAGCGCAAATAAAATAAAAAGACATTCAACGCTACATATCATATGGCATATAATTCCAAAATCATTTTTGCAAAATATCTCAATCAAAAAGTTGATATTGTTAAAAAAAAATTGCAGTGATGAAGTTAGTAGGGTATTACCAGGAAAAAAAGATTGCATATCTATCATTGAAAAGGGGGAACGAGTGAACGCTCAAAAAGGGTTAGTTCTTAATAATGTGAAAGAATTATATAATCATTTTAAGGCGAGTAATTCAAACTTAAAAATTGGATTTTCGAAATTTGCTAGCTTAAGACCAAAAAATTGTATATTAGCAAGGGCTAGCGGAATACATAGTGTATGCGTTTGTAGCATACACCAGAATATTAAACTTATGATTTTAGGCTGTGAATTAGCAACATTGACTAAAAATTGTGAGGATATATTAACAACTTATAGAGATGTTATAGGCAGAATGATTTGCAATCCCCCGTTACCCACCTGTTATTTTGGTGACTGCAACGAATGTCCTGGCTCGGCACTCTTAAAAAAACGCATCAAAAATTATTTATACTTGTTACGTTTAAACAGTGGGTTTCGGTAGATAAAACAACTCTGGAGATTATTTCTCAATCTTCAGACGAATTTATTATTTATTTTTGCGATAAAATGAATATTCTCATACGCCATTCATTTATTTATGAACAACAAAGTTCATTTCACATTAAAAATAGTTTAGAAAATAATCACTATCTAATTATTAGTGACTTTTCAGGAAATTATTCCTTTATTGTCCAAGACGAAGTTCAGGGTTATCATTGTACAACTTCGCAAGTTACGTTGCATCCATTCTCAATTTATCATAAAATAAGAGATCAAATAAACAATCTAAGTTTTGTGGTAATATCGGAATCCTTAATTCATAATACTGTTTCATTTCCATTTATTCCAATCGCATTTGATTCATTTTTTAAAAAACAAATTCGACACTCCACCAGAAAAAAATCACTACTTTTCTGATGGTTCAGCAGCGCAATATAAAAATAGGAAAAACTTCATCAATGTTTGCTACCATGAAATCGATTTTGATCTCTAAGCAGAATGGCATTTTTTTCCTACGGCACATGGTAAAAGTGCCTGAGACGGCATAGGCGGCACAGTAAAACGGTTAGTTGCCAAAGCAAGCTTACAAAGACCTTATACTGATCAAATAAGCGGAAGAGATATAAAAGGTATAAATTTTTCTTATGCTACTATACTAGAATATGAGGAAGAAGAGATAAGGCTAAATGAGAGATTTAGTAAATCTATCTTAACACCCAGGACACAAAAAATTCATGCAGTGTTTCCGATTGGCTTAACTAAACTCAACACTAAACTATATTCTAATTCGCTGACATTTATTGTGGAGAATATAGTATATCCACGTGAGGACCCTTTGATTGAGGATCTGTTAATCGATGAGATTAGAGGATATGTAACATGTGCATATGAAAACGATTGGTTTTTAGGATTTGTACAAGAAGTGAATGTAATTAGAGATGAAGTAAAAATTAATTTTCTTCACCCTAAAGGACCAGCAAATTCTTTTGTTTATCCAGCTGCACAAGATATCCTTTTCATACCAAAAAATAATATTTTAACAATAGTTAGCCTATCAACGGCTACTGGGCGTACATATAATTTATCGCAAAACGAAATTATCATGGCGTCAAAAAAACTAAATTTAATGAAACCCCGAAAATAGGTAATATCTTTCATGAATTTTAATTTTTTTATTATATCTTCAAAATTTACAAAATTATTTTTCGAAAATTAAAATTTTTTATAAAAAAAAATAATTATAACCGCAGCTAAATAATCTCATTTCATGATATTAATGCTGGAAAATCTTATTATTTATGTTTAAAAATGAAAAAAAGTTTAAAAAAATAATAATTATAACAAAACATGTTATTTTATAAAGGAGCGCCATCTATTTTTGAAAAAAATATTTATTTTTTGATTTTTTAAATCGTAATAACTAAAAAACCCATGGCTCTCCCAAGTTTAAATTTTTTTATGAATAGATATAAGGTTAGAGAATAAGAAAATATTAAATTCAAAAAAATTTGGAAAGCGAAACACCTGGAATTTTTATGTTTAAAATTTATAACGTAAATAAAAACCGCAACAATATTATTTCAAAAAATCCTTAATATTTAATAAAAGGCCTTTAATAGAGTTACAAAATGACATATAACTTATAATTTTAAAATCATATTTTTTAACTTATCTCAATTTCAAAAAATCGTATTTTTCGAAAAAAAGCTTATTCACTTTTGACCATTGATATCTCAGGAACTATGAGTATTAGGAAGCTAAAATTTTGGATTCGATGCTTTCAAATGATATTCTCTCAGCATACAAAATTTTATCGAAATTAAAAAGGTCGGGCCGAAAAGTTATCGATTTGGTATGGAATTACCCATATAATTTTTATAAATTAGGGTTTGAAGATGCTCCGCCCATTTCCACGCGTGATTTTTTTGCACCTGTGCAATTAAGGGTTAATAAAAATTACCACTTTGACATATGGAGTTTTATGATTGAAATGTTTCGTGAAATGATCTATCTCGCAGAGTTGTTGAACCCTACTTTTAAAAGTAACGCGATACCATCGCTATTTGTCAAAAAAGTAGCGCGCTATTAGCTACTATAATTTAAAATTAGTTTTGGTTACTTTTTATAAAAAAAAATTAGTTATAAATTTGTTTTATTTTTTGCTTATAATGTAATAGCAGAGTATATAATACATAAAATTTATAAATATTTAAATGTAGTAAGTTTTGATTAGAAATTGTGTAAAAAAACTAATTTTTATAATAAAATAACTATTTATGGTAATATTCATTTATTATTTATTTTTTTGCATTTTAATAAAAATCATTTCTCTACTCTCATCCCCAAGCCTAGAGCGATGATCAGAAAGTATAAGTTTCGTCTTACTAAATAATCTCTCAACACTAGAGCAGTATTTAATTTTATATAAATATTTTTAATATAAGAAAAACTATCAAAAATACTCATTTGTAATATTAGATTTAGAAAATGCGTAGAGGGGATATTCTATTATATTAGTATCCTTTATTTCAAAAAAATTATCAATGGAAATCGTTTTTATGGTTCTAACTAGGGCATCTTTCTTTGCTATCTCAATCATTAGTGTGGCGATAAAAAATTGTTGTACCAGGGATAGAGTTTTAATCATCATTGTAGATGACGGATTATCAACCAATGACATTGGCTAAACTGTATCAATTATAAAATCATCAATAATTTATCAACCAATTTCTGAGAAATATTGGCATGTGCAATATTATTAATCAATTTGGCTTGAATTGAATTGGTCTTTTTGAATGTAGTCTCCTCTATACCAAAATTATTAAGATGTTTTTCTATCTCTTTAAAACTGTTGGCATACTATTAGAATTTAAAAATGACAATTACCTTTAGAAGAACATTTACTTATAGGGTGCCTTACATTTCATTAATATTATAATTGGCTGACTCACTTACATCGTTTTGATTATCCATTTGCGATGACATTTTAAATAATTTACACCAGATGATTTAGGTTTATAAAACAAATTGAAAATATAAATTTCAATTTTAAAATTAAATAATAAATTATAAAAATTATAATTAATTATGATATTATATTTAAATTTTAATTTTTATAATTACATCCATTATATTTTTAAAAAGTAGCTAAGTAGCGCTTTCAAAAAAAAGAGCTCCCTAAAAAAAATAATTAGGTAGCGCGCTATTTATTAGTTATAGCTTCCAAAAATATAGCGCGCTACAGCAGCGAGCTACTTTAACGACTCTGCTAACCCGTGATTAAAAGTTCTCCTATCACATTTATTTAGGATTTGTATATAATATAGAAAACGAAAACTTTCTTATCAACTTAAATTTTTTTAAAACATTTTCTATGAATAAGAAATAATTAGAAATTTTTAAATAATTTTTAAAATAGTGAATACATGGAAATATTAGGGGAGAATATAAAATAATGAATAAATTGTGGCTTAATTAGTCAATTTTTTTAAAAAAAACGTTATTTTATTTTTTACAGAAAATTCCGTACAAAATTGGAAGATTTCCTTTCCTAGCCAACAGCCGTGCTAAATGTAACAACGAACCAGATGGGCTTGTTAAGATTATAGCTCATCAGGAATCTAACAAAATTCTTGGCGCCCACATTTTTGGACCAGTAAAATTTCTTAGATTATTAACCTATTTATTGATAAGTTATTTGCAAAGAAAATATTAAATTTTAAAAAGATTTTGGTAATGTCATATTTAATTTTTTTTAAAAAAAAATACATCCTGTCAGTCACAAGTAGACCTATTCAAAAACGAATAGTTATCAAAGAAAGAAAGATTATTCTATTCATATTAATTTTTGAATGGACCTAGTCACTAGTTAAGTTATTTCATTATAACATATATTAAAATCGCATGTAACATATTCTGTTTGATTCTACATAGCTATTAGTGTTGTTAAAAGTTTTTTTTTAAAGTAACTATTAAATCATATTTAGTAAGAAGTTACTTTATCCAAAACATAACTAAAGTTCCATATCGTAACTCCTGGGCATAGCCAGGATTTAGCTGGGGGGGGGCTGTTGATTTCACCCCTCCCTCCAACAAATTCAAGTTTATTCCAGATCCCTTTGACAGGATTACGCTTTTTGGAATAATTTTGGTTTAAAAATATTACTTTTCGGGAAATTTTTGAATTATAGTTATTAATTTTTTTCCGGTCATGGGTTACTTTATTTGAATATTTACTGATTTGATAAAAAATTATCATTAATTTATAATGAAATATTATATTCATTTGAAAGGGGTAATTTTTATTGGCTTAATATTTCGTCGGCCTAGAATTGGACTGCTCCACTTGCGCAAATGTTTAAAATGAGAAAATCAACATTAAAGTTTAAAATCAAATATAGGAAAAACTTATTGCTCAATTTAATTAAAAATTTCAGAGATAATTTATCATTTTGTTACTTATTATAGGGTCATTCCATGTCAAATCAATCACTTTTCGGCCGACCCCTTTCGATTTCGATAAAAAATCGTAGGCTGGTTATATATGTTCCCATTAGATCACAAACAAAATTTTAGAGCATTAGCAACTATATTAGCGGAGATAATCGGGGTTAAAGGTCCAAAAAACGTCTTTTTTTGCTTTTTACTGATGTTAAATAATTAGTTTTTAATTTAAAACTAAATATGATCAAATATTGAATCTAATATCAATAGCTAAGTTAATAATTGATAATCAAAAACATCAAAATTAATTTTTTTTAAATATGGGTCATCTTATGGTCAGTTGAAAATTTGAAATTAATATTTCGAAATGAATATGATCTCCAATTTTTAATTTTTTTAAGAAATATTATCCTTTTACTATTTTTTTAATAAATTCTTCAATTGCTATTTTTATACTTTAAAAAAATAGATGGCGCTATATATAATAGTTTTAATATGTTAAGATTCATTTTTTTATTGATTAAAAATATTTTATATTATAAAATTCGATTATATAACTTTGTAAACCTTATTCCCCTGAGATATTCGCAGGATAAAAAATTTTAATAATTTTTTTAATATTTCAATGTAAATTAAAAATAATTAAATAATCCGACTAGCATGCGAACAAAAAAGCAGGATTAAAGGAGTGCAGGAAAATTATTAAGGGAAAAATCGAAAATCACATAATTACCCGGCCTACCCCCCCCCCCCCCCCCCGAGACTAAGTCATACCCATCAAGACCAAGAATGTTATGAAATTGTCATTAACCAGAAAATTTCAAAGATTTTTAAAAAATTTTTAAGCAAAACAAAAAATTAACTAGTTATAAAATATTGGGTATCAAATGAATTTGAGCATATGTTTAACACTGAAAAAATTAATAAAAGTAAGTCAGCTGTTTTTATCTTTTCTTAAAATTATTAAAAATAAACTGATTAGCAAAATTAATTAGCGAATTTAGTTAATAAATCAGTTGCTAATAATACAAATTGATTTCTTTAATATTTTTTCACAAACACCGATTCATTTCTTTAACATTTTTCTAATTTAAAAAAAAACTAATTTTTTATAATTTTACTTGTCGTTAAAAATAAATAAATTTTTTAAATGAAACCTTTAAAAGATAAGCTAAAGTGTTACAATCCACTGAATAAACCAAAACATAAAAATTTTAAAAAAAATTTAAGATCAGTTATTCCATCGATGCTTAATATAAATAATGATTTATATCTTCAACAAAAAATATGTAATTCGTGCCGATACCAGTTAAGTAAAATTGGTCCACACATTCCCGAAGAAGTTATATCCCCAATAACCCATAATCAGGATGCCTTTGAATCGATTAATGAAACATTACACAATATTGGAGAATCACCAATTAAAAGAAAACGTTTAATGGAGAAAAAATATCCTAAAAATAAAATTCAAAAGATTAAAGCAATAAAGAGTAAGGTTTTAGAAATATCTGATTCCGAGATTGATAGTTTAATGAAAGTGGAAATTCTTATTATATTTAAGGATAACTTTGATAAATTATCAAAAAATCAACAATATCAAATTCTTACAATTTTGCCTCAAAGATGGAGTGTAAATAAAATTCAAAAGGAATTCAAAGTAACATCATACATGGCAAGAAAATCTAAAATGGTGGTAAAAGAAAGTGGAATTCTTTCATTCCCAAAACATAAGGCAGGAAAGACACTAAACGAAAAAACATTTAAACTCGTCAAGGATTTTTATAGTTCTGATGAAGTAAGCAGACTCATGCCAGGAATAAAAGATTGTGTATCTGTTAAAAGCGAGAAAGAACCAGTTGAAAAAAGACTTATATTAAATAATCTTAAAGAAATATTCAAGATGTTTAAGAAAGAATACCCAAATATATCAATTGGATTCTCTAAATTTGCCGAACTTAGACCAAAAAACTGTATTTTAGTTGAAGCTAGTGGCACACACACTGCTTGTGTATGCGCTATTCATCAGAATGTGAAATTAATGACAAATGTAATAGCTGAAATTACAGCAGGAGAAGATTACTGTATAAATTCTTACAACTATCTTTTGGCGCAAATTATTTGTAATACATAGCCAAAATGTTATTTAACAAATTGTGATCAATGCTCTGGTATAGAATCTCTTAAGGGACAATTATACCAATTGTTTCAGAGAAATCGTATAGAATATGTCACATTTAAACAATGGATCATGGTGGATAAACAAATCTTGAAACTATTATAAAGTCCGTTGATGATTTCATCGATTATTTATTAGAAAAAGTTCAAATTTTACTACGTCACTCGTTTATAGCTAAACAACAAAGTTTATTTTTGAAGAATTCCAAAGAAAATTTAAAAGATGGGGAATTTTTAACAATTCTAGATTATTCTGAAAATTATTCCTTCATTTTACAAGATGAAGTTCAGGGATTTCATTGGAACAACTTGCAGGCCACTATACATCCATTTGTAGCATATTATAAATCTGGAGAAGATTTAAAAAATATAAATTTTGTTATTATATCCGAATCATTAAACCATAATACTAGTGCAGTCCACCTTTACCAAAAAAAATTTATTAATTTCCTAACAGCCAAATTTAATTCTAAACCAGAAAAAATAATATATTTTTCAGATGGAGCCGCGTCTCAATACAAGAATGGCAAAAATTTTCTGAACATATGCCTTCATAAATACGATTTTAATATTCCTACCGAATGGCATTTCTTTGCCACTGCTCACGGCAAAAAAGCATGTGACGGTATCGGAGGAACTGTCAAAAGATTAGTTGCCAGAGCTAGTCTTCAAAGGCCAAATAAAAATCAAATCATAACCCCATTAGAATTATATAATTATGCTAAAGAAAATATTAATGGAATTCAATTTGAATATATATCCAATCAAGAATATATCGAAGGGGAATTAGCCCATCGTAAAAGATTTAATTCTGCGCTGCCCATACATGGGACCTTAAAAATTCACGGGGTTATTCTCATTGATAAAAATAGACTAAAAACCAAAATATATCCAAATTCTAAAAAATATAATATAAAAAAAGTTTCGTTTTTAAAAGAAAAAATTATATTTAAAATATTAATGGATATGTAACATGTGTATATGATGATAAATGGTAGTTAGGATATATAATAGTTAAATATGATACAAATGTAGAAGTAAAAATCCGATTTTTACACCCTTGTGGACCTTCAGCTTCATTTAAATTTCCCCTTAAAGATGATATTTTAGTGTTACCTAAATCTCATATTCTTTCACTGGTCAATCCTTCTACTCCCACCGGTCGAACATATATTATCTCCTGAAGAAATCTCACAAGCTAGCCAGGCTTTGTATTCCTTTAGATGAAGTAAGATTTAATTAATTTATATGATATATATAAATTAAAATATTTTTCAACAAAAAAACGAATTTTAACATAATTAAACTATTATATATAGCGCCATCTATTTTTTTTAAAGTATAAAAATGGCAATATTTTTTAAAATAAATATTCAGTCATGCTAATTGTTAAAGAAATTATTAAAAAAATAGTAACCGGATAATATTTCGTAAAAAAATTAAAAATTGGAGATCATATTCATTTCGAAATATTAATTTCAAATTTTCAACTGACCATAAGATGACCCATATTTTAAAAAAAATTAATTTTGATGTTTTTGCCATAATTATCAATTATTAACTTAGCTATTGATATTAGATTCAATATTTGATCATATTTAGTTTTAAATTACGCTTTCTATATGATTATTATATAATAAAAGTTACATTTATTTATAATAATATTAAAAATAAATATACATGACATAACATATGTAACAGTAATGTAATAAAAAATGAACACGAGGAAGTGCATCTAGATTATGGCACCATGTATTGATATATTATGAGACCTACAAATTCCCATTAAAATTCGTTGGGTTAGGTAAAAATCTTCCTAAGTATCACTCGAAATTAATTGGCCAAGTGCCTTGAAAATATCCTTTGCTCTGGGTCCAAAAGCACCTATTCTTTCAGAAACAATGGAGGTACAAATCTACCATTCAAAAAGATGTAGGAACTCAGGAAAATGGAATCCAAACGATTATCTTCCAATTCCATGTAAAATACAATATTATTTAACATATTCTCATCAATTTTTAACCTCCCCCCCCCCACCTTCTATCGTTAATTCAAGAGTATGTACTCACTTAAGATATTGTTATTAGTCAAAACAATTATCTTCCAATTCTATTTAATATTAATATATTAAATTTCTAACCTCAAACTTATTAGGGACCATATTAAACGCCATTTTAACTTATTTGCCCATAGTATTTTTCAATAGTCAACGGCTGTTAAGGGAATTTACTACTACAAAACGTATAAAAATTATAACGATTCTAAGACGTAGGACGATAACAAGGATCACTAAAAATTAAGAAACAAGTATTGAATGGCAACTAGTTTGAAAGTCCTTTTGTAATAAGTCATAAGAAAAATTTACCTTACGAAAGGGAATGAATTATAATTGTTCTGGCCCATCAACACCTGTAGAAGAGAATAGATTTAAACAATATATTCATATTAAATATAATGATAAAATTTACAATCTTCTTCTCCTCGAAAACGAAGCCTTTAATTAATTCACAAAAATATTCAATCACAACAAAGAAAATACTAAATTTTTCCCACAACAACTAAACCAGAATGAATTAAAAATTTGATCATTAATGTATGATTTATATATCAATCCGCGTTCAACCTTAAACCATGAAGATTTTGACGAACTAATAAAAGTGTCGCAACCTAATCTTGAGATTTGATAGTAGCTTTTTTCCGTCTTTTGGTTTAAGGCGGACTGAAATTGAATTTGGAAAAGATACCAAAATAAATTGTATATAATTTAAAAAATAAATTCAAATGGCGGTAGGAAATATTCTACTAAATTTAAATTTTTTTAAGCTGTTTTCCTAAATATATTTAAAAAAAACCTCAAAATTTATAAATTTTCGCAAATTAATAAAATTGTGAAACATGCCTGAAATGTTGCATTTTTTTTTAAGTTGTGTGAAAATGAAAATAAAGAAAAACAAAATGAAAGAAAAAAAGCCATAAAAATTATACAAATTTAAAGATTTTAAGCAAAATTTTATTTAAAATTGATTAATTTACTACGTTTAATTGTATTATCTTTAAAAAAAAATTGGTAAATGACGAAAAATGATTTATAACACTTTTATTTTTTATAAAAAATAGCTTATCTTATTTTTTATATTTAGGACACAGCCTTAGTTATAAAAAATGCCAAATTCCTAATATATTCATAATCCCGAAATAACTAAATATGATGAATATTCTACTTTAAAGCTAATATACATCAAATATTAATGTTGCTCTTCCAACAAGTGCCTTAGTAGAAGGTTTATTTAGCATTGGATGTATGGTTTTTTTGGAAAAATATGATTTATTGAATAGAAGTATAAAACATTCCAAACAAATTAAACCACGTTTGAAAAAAAATGTAAATCAAATAAATGATTTTATAGACATAATTTTTTTGCAAAAATTTAAGTTACTAGGGCTGTATACATATTAAAAATGGGATCGATGTCGATATTAGTGTTTTTAAAAAATGATTAAACTGTGGCGATAGTTAAAATGAACCGATGCGGTTTTTTTTGTTTTTGGTTATTTTATGATTGTATATATATAGTTTTATAATTATTATTTTTTTAAATAATTTCATTAATATATAAAAAACAATAATTCAAATTATTTGTAATGTTTAAAAAAATCAAATAACTTTAAAAGATATTGTTAGGCTACTGCAACAAGAAAAGGATTTTAAAAAATCTAACGAATCACATTCAGCTAATGTTAAACGGTTCAGTTTTGCCGATTTTTAGAGGCTAACTTGAACATTTTGACCAAAAAAAAATATCAACTTAGAGATTTTGCCCACAGATGATAAAAAAGTTTAAACTTCTATTGGCGGAATTTTGAGGCTTAATTATTAACTAAAGTCTCAATTTTTATATTAAAATTCGAATCAAAGTTGTATATATAATAGTTTATGTAGAAATTCATTTTCTGGCCCAGTCCAAACAAGGTATGCTTAACTGGCCATAAGTTATAAGAAATATATTATAAATTAATAATTACTATAAATAATTAATATTTATATTCATTTTATCATTAGATTCATCTATTTAATTATAATATAAATTATTATCTTTATTATCCCGATGTTAAACATAGCTGCTATTCTAGTTTCAAGTTGAATTGACCATATATTAATTTGACTGAATCTAAATGACAACTTGATAGACTAATGGTAAAGTTGAATAATACTTTAACCCTAGCCAGATCAAAAACGCCACCTACTATAGATGATTTTTTTGAAATAAATAATAATACTATTGAAAATACTTTAGACGCATTTTTAATTCTAAAAATATTCAAATGAATATTTTGATAATTTTCTTATATAAAAAAATATGTATATTAAATTCAATACTGCATTGCCCTCAAGTGATATAGCGTTGTACGATTATTTAGTTCGGCAAAAACCTTGATCTTTTCTCTACATGGGGATGACAGTATAGAAATGTTATTATTTTTAAAATGCAATAAAAAATGTATTATATTTATATTTGAAATCATAATTTTAAAAAAATTCTTAAGTAGCTAATAGCGCATTACTTTTTTTGTGAAACACCAGTAGCAATAACGCGTTACTTTTAAAAATAGCGTTTAACAACACTAGTAATTACGGATTGAATCGGTGAAAAATTTGTGAATCGGCTTAGCTCTACATTTGAGTAACTTTTAGATTTCAAATTAGGCAAACTACGCTCTGTAACTTACAATTTTGAAAAGTAATTAAATATTATATGCACGATTCCGCGAAACTGATTTGATCATACATTTTTATTTGAAATTTAGTCAGCAGGTGAATTGATTAACGAAATGGTTTTTGCTATAGAACAAGGTGCTACCTGCGAAGATGTCGCGAAAACTTGTCACGCTCATCCAGTAAGAATTATTTACATGATTATTAGTTTTTTTAAAAAAACATCCGCCTATAATGATGGTCAGTACAGATACTCTTATTTTTTAATAAGTTTTCACCTATATCTTGACTTTGATAAAAAAAATTAAAATCAATAATTCTTATATTATTATCATAAATAGAATTAAAGATAAAATTAATCTCATCTCGTATTTTAAAAATTGATTAGCTGTTAAATCGTGTGGGGTATCTCACTATGAATCCAGCCTTAGTTGATCAATTAAAACTTTGTTGTTATTCTTCATAAGTTTGTGATTTTTACTTCTTCTTTAGATCTATTGTTTATTTTAACTAAGTTTAATCAAATATATTTTATTTTGAAACGCGAAAAAATTTGAAGCTTATCGTATTTTTATAAAATATATTTTTTATTTTGTATTATCGTTTTGAAAAGTTCTAGTAAATATTATTTAATCTTTTTTTAGACATGCGCCGAAGCTGTGAGAGAAGCTAATCTAGCAGCCTTTTGTGGGAAAGCAATCAATTTTTAAAGATGTTCGTTAAAATAATTATAATATTATTCTAGTGAATTTTTTTTATATAAAACTAAAGCTATGGAATTAGATAACATTCATATTTTATAAAATCCTTTAAATGAATTATAAATTTATCCCCTAATTATTATTTATTTCCACAGCCGAAATAATCTATTTTAAAAATAAAAACATGCCCAAAACATTTCTAGAAAATTTAACATACGATTTCATTAAAATTGGGAAAAGTTTTGAAACCTTTTGAATTTTTTAAAAAAGATTTTGGACATAGCCTAAATTAATGAAACTTTACTTTTTTAAAAAGTTTTCTTAAAACTTTAACGAATTATTTATATGGAAAACCAAAATGGCGTGTCACCTGTTGATTTTTGTTGATACACATTTAAATAAATAAATCGTCAATCTAGGTGGCAAGGACAAATATAATAATTCATAAAAATTTCACTGTTTTACAAATTTTTTTTTAAAGTATAATTATCAGAGACCTGCAGGGCCGGGCCGTATTTTAAATTTTTTAAATATACCCGGGCCGGACCTAAAAAAATTTTTTTTAAACATATCCGGGCCGGGCCTAAAAAATTTATATCCGGGCCGGGCCTAAGATTGTTAAACCCAGGCCGGGCCTTAATATTTTTTATAAAAATTTTTACATTATGAGTTAATGGTTATAAGATTATATTATATTATAGATATGATTAATATAATATTGGGTGATGGTTAACACTACCTAACAACCCACAGATCGATCTAATTATTAATTTCCTGCAAATTTATTCAAAGTATTAATATATTTTTTTATAATTCATATCTAAATTTTTACAACATATTTTACCAAAACAATCAAATAAAGGAATATCTTAAATAAGCCCCAATATTCAAGTATTATTAATATATTTTTTTATAATTCATATCTAAATTTTTAGAATATATTTTACCAAAACAATCAAATAAAGGAATATCACTTCTTAAAGTTTGTAATACCTTTCAAAGCGAAAAGGAGAAATAAAATTGATTTTACTTAATATAAAGCATTTTTTAATTGAAAAATTTGTTTTACACAAGTATCATTTTATTTCTCTTTTTCTCTGTCCCAAATTCAAGCAATTAAGTATGTAGTCAGGGACAGATCGCAAAATGACGGAAAACTATATAAAAGATTATATTAAATTACAAGAGGCTCAGGAAGTAAATGAAATACCATCGACCAGTCAAATTACGACTGTTGTTAAACAAACTGAATCGTTTTATGACAAATGGGGCGATGGTAATTCTGGTAATATGTCAATACCCGATGATGAATATTATAATTACATAAATAATAGATAAAACATTTAAGGTGGATAATTTGTTAGAGTGGTGGGCGGCTCATTAAAGCGAATTTCCAATTTTAGCAAAATTGGCAATTCTTGCTTTAAGTGCAAGCTGTGAGCGGAATTTTTCCACTACTAGGAGAATTCTTGAAGAAAGAAGAAGTAATCTTCAACCTGAAAAGGTAGATATGCTTCTCTATCTTCATGATAATTTGTGAATTTTTAATATCTTTCTTGAGTATAGGTTTTCGTCAATCATGCTGGTTTTTTACTTTGCAAACTGTCAAATATTTATTGCATTTATTATATTTTACCTTGAGTCATGAAAGTTTTTAATCCAACATTTTTCTTATTTTTTTTACAATATTATAGTTAAAAATTTTTATTATAAAATAAATTATATTAATATTGTGCAATTAGAATATTTCAAAATACTATTTATTATACATGCATTTTTTTAAATAGCGATTTATTTTTATTTTATAAATTAAATAGTAAATTAAATACAATATATTATATTCTCAAAATATTTTCCATTTTTATAAATGTAATATAAAATATAGTATATGACAAATATTATTACCATTTTTATGAATATTAGTATTATTTTTATAAATGCAATATAAAATTTAGTGTATGCTCAAAATATCCATTTTTATAAATAACAGTTTTATAATTTTTTTAAATTCAATATAATATTCTCAAAATATTAGCTTTTTACATGTATTTTTTAAATAATAAGCGATAATACTCGCTGAAAAATATGGTAAAATACCTCATAGGTGAATTTTTGTATATACCAGGTCGAATATAATTAAAAAATTCCTAGCCGGGCCTGAAATTTTTTTTTTAAAATATCCGGGCCGGGCCTTAAATTTTTTTTTTAAAAAATATCCGGGCCGGGCCTTAAATTTTTAAATCCGGGCCGGGCTGTAAAAAATTTTTTTTAAAAATATCCGGGCCGGGCCTAAAAAATTTAAAACCGGGCCGGTCCGTGCAAATGGTACCTCTGCAGGTCTCTGATAATTATATAGCTTTTTTTAGTCGCTTAGTTTCAATCTAGGTTTGCAGAAAAAATTACATCTTTTTTTTAGAAAAATGAACTCTTTAAAAAATTTTGGTATTTTCAAAAATTAATGACCAATAAACTGAGAGCGAGTTATTAAAGATGGAAATAAAAGCGTGATGATTAAATTATTTGTTAATCTAGAAATTTCTGATAGGTCTACATTTTTTATGACCATAATTCTTAGAACTTGGCAAAATGAAAATATGCAAACCCTGTCCTAGTCCTGATATAATTTCTATATTTTTCTAAATTTTTATTTTGTATCTTTTTTACAAACATAATAATTATTATATGCCTACAAAATAAAATTTAATTTCTTTAAAAAAATCGGAATGATTGGTGGCTGAGAAAACAAATTAGAAATAAAATCATAATTCACGTTATAAATCGCTAAAATTGGGAATCCCGCTTATATCTTTTAAAAAAAATTTTATTGAACATCTTTGGGAAAAGTTTTAAAAAATATTACAAGTAAAATAAATCAAATAATATTTATTTTGTGATTGAATAAACTAAACGAAAATGAAAATTATTTTTTTAATTTAGTCAATTTCCGTTTTAAGCCTGGTTCCGCCATATCGATTGGTGTCTTTTTTTGCTTGTTTTGTATATTTATATCTGCTTGATTTTCCAATAATATATCAACAATTTCTTCTCGATTTTCTTCACATGCTAGGTGCCTGTATATTATTACAGTAAAAAAATATATTAAATAATCAGAAGCGCTAATAGGACTGTCCCATATATTGGAATTGGATTGTCACCGATATGCGATTAAAAACTGAATGCGTTAAAATAAATTTATTTAACAAAATGATGAGAACAAAAATTGAGAAAAGGGTCGTTTCCTCACCGTTGTATATAATTTTAGTAAAATAATCTTAATTAAGTGTAAAATTTTAATTTAATTTGATTATACTGTTTGCAGTAAGAATGCTATTACTTAATTTCTATAAGATGAATTTGGAAAAAATAATATTTACCTTCCTTTTTCTTACATTAAAATAAACCTTTACATAATTAGAATTTTAAGGAGAGAACATTTTAGAATTAAAATCGAAATAAGTTTTGGAATACTTATTTTACAAGAGGAGATAAGTAAGGGAATATTCTGATCATATTTTTTTAAATAAAATCTAACAACTTAAAATAAAAATATTGAGTTAGTTTAGGAAATCGGACAGCCCTAATTATGAGAGTAGCAATTATGAGAGAGATAAAGCATATGAGGATATTACATGAAACAGGCAAATAGATTTACATTTCAAAAAAAAATATTATTTTATGATAAAATTAGAAATAGAGCAAAAACACCAGCAAATCATTTGAATATCAAGTTGAATTATTAAAATTTATCCCTAACCATCTATTGGTTATTCATTTTAATTTATTATACAAATGTAATATTACATACTAAAAAATAAATATATTTAAGGTAAATTTTTGTTTGGGTGAAAAATATGTATATAATTCTATATTTAGGTTGGGCTAGAAATTTTTTAAAAAATATAGTATTTAGATTGAGTTAAGTCATGAAAAAAAATTTGCTTCCTATGATTTGGGTTAAAATATTTTATCTAATGTAAGTCTCTAGTGATAACCAATAAAAATGTTTAGTTTTTTTTATAAAACTCATTAGATATCATGAAACAAATAAAAAATGAGCTGCGAATATTGTTTTATCAGACCTAGTATAAAGTATGATAATAAAATTATCTTTAGATTTACATATAGGTAGAATGAGTAAGACCAAAACTAAAAAGGAATATATGACTATTAAGTTAGATAGGATTATAAAAATTATAAATAATTGGGCTGCCCTGTTATTTAAGTTATATAAATTATAATACAATGGAGTATTTCCTTCCAAATTCTGTATATTATTATTGGCTTCAAATTCTAACAATGACTTTACAATATCAGCATGGCCTTGAGAAGATGCCCTATGCAAAGGAGTGTTACCAAAATTATCATATGCATCCACTTTGGCATTTTCATTTAATAATAAAAGTAAAATCTAATAAATATATATTTTATGACTAAATTAAAATTTTTAGAGCACCCCTAAATGATTTTTTGAAGCAGCATAATGCAGAGGGGTTTGTTTGTTGTTATTTGTAATGTTTACTTTTGCACCTTTGTTTAAGAGATAAAAAACTACATTTTGCCATCCAGCTGATGAGGCCATCATTAATGGTGTCCAGCCTAACTAAATTTTAATATATAACAAAATTTATTCAATTTAGTACTTCATCTTTTTCGTCCACAGTGGCATGGCATTGATCTATTAAATATTCTATAATTTCAATATTTCCTTTACTGGTAGCACAATGCAAAAGCGTTCTCCCTGACTTGGTTAAAATAATATTTAAAAAAAAATTTTTAATCTAAATACATTGTCTTTTTTGTTAATAATATCTGGAGATTCCCTAATGATATTTTTAAGAGTATCAAAATCATTTTCAAAAGCACATTTATAAGCGTCCAGAACTTCGTTTTTATAATTCATGATAAAGGATAAATGATATAAATACATATGTTTTCTTATTCTAAAGTCAATAAGTTTCCAAAAGCAAACACATAATTGTCTAGATGTAATTAGCTATAAAATTTCTTGGAAATATATATTTGATAACATAAATATTTTATTAAGCTAATATCATTGAACTAGGGCCGAGTATAATAAAGAAACATGTTTTACTACAACTAAAAAATTTATCCCTTTTAAAATATACCCAGCCTTAAGCTTGAGTTCAAGCAACAAATAAAAATAAACTAAACAAATAAAGAATCTAGAAAAAAATTAATTGTGTAGTAATACCAACTACTAATTATAAACAATACGACCACTGATTTATATTTCAATTTATTTTTGATATCAAATTTTTATTTATTATTTTTCGAATGTTCGATTCTGTTTTAATATACATAAATAATCATTTATTAATTTATTACATTTCCTTCAAACAATTTAAAATTAGATTTCTTCAATAAACCTCTTTGTAGGTTTACGGTTTCTTGATGAGCAACGTAATGTGGTATTTGTGTTTGTATTTGCTTCATTCACTGGCACAACCATTTCTGTAACTTCCAAAGAACTTTCATGATTTGGGATAACTAAACGATTTCTTAACTGATCTGCATGCTTCCGTAATGTTTTCCCGGAAGATTCAACAATATAAGAATAAAGTCCTATTCTTTCTTTAATTACTCCCTCTCTCCAACCATTGGTATTTTCATTATTTAACCATATAGGTTGTGAGATTTCAAATTCTCTTTCCTTTGAATGTAAATCATGATGAAGGCTTTGTTTATCATTAGCCCTTACTATTTCGTGTTCGGCATTTGGTCGGATCCAATCCAGACTTGTTTTCAATTGCCTCCCAAACATGATTTTAGCAGGTGATCTCCCTGTGGAACTATGCTCTCCCAATCGGTAGGTTGTTAAAACCTGTGTCATAGCTTCTTCGGGATCTCTAATTGAATCTCTCATTGCATAATACCGACCTTTCAAAGTTCTTACTGTACGTTCAGCTAATCCGTTAGTTTTTGGATGATAGGGTGCTGAACGTATATGACGTATGTTATTTAAATCACAATACCTACGGAATTCCCCAGAAAAGAATTGTGGTCCATTGTCTGACACAATGTACTTGGGTATTCCAAACCTAGCAAACCATTTTTTTAGTCGTTTTATCATAGCATCAGCAGAGGTATTTTGCATTAGATCAACTTCTAACCATTTGGAATACGAATCGACACCTATTAGCCAGTATCGCGAATCCACTGGTCCAGCAAAATAAATATGGATTCACTCCCAAGGTTCCTTTCCAACAGTCCAAGAATATAGAGGTACTTCTTGAATACTAGGTCTATTTTTCTGGCATCCAGAACATATTTTGATAAAATTTTCTATATCAACATCACATCTGGGCCACCAGCAATACAATCTAAAAATAGATTTCATTACATTTTCCCCAGAATGTCCCCGGTGAATCATTCCTAACACTGAATTTCTTAATTTATTAGGAATAACCAATCTCCCATTCCATTCTATAATATCACGATCGACAGAAAGCTCTTCCCGTCTATTATAAAAATTAACTATTTCTTTATCTTTATAACGATCAAAGTTTCGCCAACTTTGCTGAATATGTATGGCTACTTTTTTTAATATTAAATCTTGCTTCGACTCTTTTCGTAGAATATTTTCTGACAATTGCATATCATCCAAATTAATACTTCGAATATCCAAAGCATGTTTAGAATCTTGATTCTCTTCCGTGTCTAATATTGGAAGCCTTGATAATGCGTCGGCGATTACATTTTTATTACCAAGTCTATATTCTATTGTAAAATCATAAGAAGCCATCTTCCAGGCCCAACGTGTCAAACGATTAATAGAAATTTTAGGTAAATCGCGTTTCTCCCCAAATAATCGCTCTAATGGTTTATGATCAGTTCGAAGTAAAAATTTTCTACCATAAATAAATGAATGAAATTTTTCAATACCAAATAAAAGTGCTCGAGCTTCTTTATCAATCGGAGCGTAGTGTTTCTCTGATTCTAATAAAGTACGTGACGCGAACGAAATAGGTTTTGTCCTTCCGTCTACTAATTGATGTAACAACACAGCCCCTAATCCTGAATCAGATGCGTCGCATTCCAAAATTATAGGCAACTGCGCGTTATAAGGAATTAACGTTTCCTCGGATGACAATAATTTCTTAACCTCATAGAAGGAATTTTGTTCATCTTTCGACCACTGCCAAGGTACTTTCACGCTCGTTAATCTATGTAGTAGCGCCGCTTTAGAATGTAGATTGCGAATAAAACGTTCATGATAATTAACTAGTCCTAGAAAAGATCTAAGTTGTATATTTTTAGGTTTTGGTGCATTTCGGATAGCCTTCACCTTTTCCGTATTAGGATGTATACCGAATTTATCAATTATCACCCCTAAAAATGAAACCGATTTTTGTAAAAATCTCACTTTTGTTAATTTCGCCTTAAGACCTGCTGCATGTAATCTGTCTAACACTATTCGCAAATTATTTAAGTGCTCCTCATCATTTCGACCAGAAATAATTACGTCATCTAAATAGACACCAGTCATTTGGCAATCTTTTAGTAACTCATCCATATATCTTTGAAATATAGTTGGTGCACTTGCCAATCCAAATGGCAATCGTCGGTAACGGAAATAGCCCTTATGAGTCACTATCGTTAGTAGTTCATGAGATTCCAATTCTACTTCCATCTGTAAATACGCATCTTTCAGATCTATCATGGTAAATTTATCACCACCTTGGATTTTCTCTAATAAATCGTCTAAGGTAGGAATAACATGATGGTCATATAATAAACACGGATTGAGTGTAACTTTGGAATCAGCACAAATTCGAATATCGCCATTACTCTTGCGTACATTTACGGTTGGCGTTGACCACTGTATCCTGGTTATAGTCGAATCAATCTTTTCAATAATTCCTGCAGCTACTAATCGGTCTAATTCCATTTCAATTGCTTTGCGAAGTGGAAATGGTACCCTACGGGCTGGAAACGATCTTGGTACAGCGGTATCCTTTAAATGTATTCGCACTGCAAAATCACGTATATGTCCCATCTTATCATCAAAAATTTCTTGATGTTTATTAATCAAATCTCGAATTCTAGAATCTAGTGTTATGCAAAATTTTTCTTTTTCAATATTGTTGACCAAATTGCGTACTTGTTTAATCATAACCTGACGAGGCATTTCTAAATTGAATGCTATAATCCATGGTAATCCGAAAAGAGGCACCCCAGTTGTATTCATTATTACCACTGGTAGAGTCCTTGTCTGTGATCCAATCCTAACATTGACTTAGGTCTCGTCCTTGACGTCTAACGGATGATCACCATATGCAGTCAATGGACTGGTTGGCCTAATTTTTGGTCGCCCAATACTTGTCCATATATCAATTCCTATCAATGACGCTTGTGCACCAGTGTCAAAATCAAATTCAACATCTAACCCATTTATCTCTGCAGTTAGTTTTGCTCGATTCTCTCGATTTTGTTGAATCTTCCAAATATTATGAATAGAATCACTTGATGACACTCTTATATAATTTAAATTCTTTGATTTACAGCAAACTGCAAAATGACCAATTTTTACATGCCGCATTTGTAGCTGGACATCTCACTTCTCGGTTATAAATAAAACAACATTTATAACATTTAAGTTTATTATAATCTTTATCATTATTATATTTGTAGTTATTATTCTCTTTATCAAATGTATTATTATACTTGACTTTATTATAGCCTTATTACACAGATTTTGACTTTGTTAGGTTTATTTATATAAAACAAATTCTTTACTATGCAATTATAGACACGACCAGGAAACTGGTTACTTATTGAAACTTAAAAGGTTGGAAGTTCCGTGCCAACGCAACTATAAGGTTTTAGCTAAAATTGTTATGTCTTACTAAAAGGCAGGACTCAATGATAAGTATTGCTTGCAAATTTTATCTATTCTTATGTATTTAAAATATTAGTATTATCGTTCCAAGTCATCAATTAACAGTTTGACCGGTCAAGATTTAGCTTAAAAATATAAAGTTTAGAAGCTATTCATTTATTTTTGAATGGAAAAGTTGGCGATTTTACGCTTATTTTCGGCGATTCTTTACGCTCTTTCTTCATTTCTTATCGTTGTCATAAACAAGATAGTTCTGACTACATTCAAGTAAAATTTTAATGCCATGTATATTAAATTAATCTACTATAGATTTCCCTCATTTCAATGCCTTGCAATTGGTCAAGTAAGGTAGTATTTATAACTTTTTGTAATACTAATATATATAACCTATCTATTTTTTATAAAGTAATAATATGGTATGAATTGATTATGTAAAATTTTTAATTGATATTTTATTATTTTATCAAAATATTTTAAAGAATATATTATGATATTTTAAATTAAGATGATAACGACTGTTTTAGTGTTGGGATTTGCTAGGGGGTTTAGACTAATAAATTTCTCTTTGGATGCAAAAGAAATGTTAATAAAGGTGAATATATTTTTTATAAATATTTTTAAATACAATCATAGATTTTTCCATTACCATTAATATATTTGGGAAACATTATGACTGGATTAGGTGGGACAAAAAAACTTAGGTAAATACGATCTTACTTATTTTATTATTAAACTATTATAGTTTGCCAATGTTTACAGTTCTTCGAAGATTTTCAATACTCTTTACTATGATACTAGAATATATAATTTTAAAGTAAATATATTATTAAATTTTATATTTAGCATAAAACTTTCCTTTATAATATTTTTGACTTATCATATTTATGATCTATTTTTTATATATTATAGAGTTCGACCATCTAATTGGATACAATTATCAGTTTTTTCCATGATCCTGGGAGCTATTATTGCAGCTAGGTTTATTTTTATTAAATAAATATTTAAATGATAAATCAGAGATGAACAAGCTTGCATTTTATAAAAATCATAAAATTTGATTCATAAATAAGTGGCTTACAATATTAATCAGCTAATATTTATGCAATTTATTATAATGATTAATTTGTGATAAATGACTGGATAAGGTAATATTAAGCATATAATATATACCTTGTTGAAATTATGATTCCCTTTTAAATACATAAGAAACAAATTTTGGGGTCTCTGGACTGCTTCCCCACCTACACTATCCTATTTGCACAGGCCTATAAATAAATATTAAAACTAGAATTTTTTTAGTCCAGATTCCATATTGTAATAAAAATATTCCATATAAAAAAAAGGTAAAATTTTAAGATTAATTTTTTTTATAATAAATGTAATTTTATTTATCAGGGAGACTCTTAGAGGTCAAAATAAGAGGTCTACCTATTCCAAGTATAAAAAAAATATGCCTTTTTTGGTGCGGGTTTGTTGATCCTCTTACAACTCTGGCTAAAATTTTTATAATTTGTTATTTTAAATAATTTTGGCTGTATTCCATATTCATTTTCACCCCTGACCATCAAAGGTATTAGCATTATCCTGAATATTTGATTTTAAGGCTATTTCTAGTTGCTATAAATCTTAGAAGATCACTTTCATAATTTCCAGAGGTTCTAGGCTCTTAGTCTATTTCGAACATGTTAATAAGCATAGAAATTTGTTTTAAATACTAAATAAAAAACACTATAAAATGAATTGCACACATTTGAAGAATATACTACCCCACCTCATTGTATCTGACCACCATCGATTTTTTTAATTTGAATTAGGGGTATAATAATTCCACTTTTTAAAATGATATCGGCAAACTACCAATCGGATATCACATCTCATTATATTCATTATACATATTTAGCTTTTTAATGTATAATAATATAGAGTCATTCCATGTTAAATCGATCAAAAAACATCATTTATAGCTGGTCCCTTATATTTTTTATGAATATTCGAATATAAACTAAGATTCTTGTAATTAATTTTAACCTCCTAGCTTTTATACTTTTCAAGATATCAAGGGTCAAAGCATGAAAAATTGTTTTGCGAGTGTCTTTAATAATTAAATCCACATGTTTGAGATTAGTGATCTGAATCGGGCCTAATATTTCAAGTTCGGCCCAAGGCCAGGCTGAAATGAATTTTTTTATTTGTCCCAAAAAGCTCGACCCAAAATAAAAAAAATTATTTGCCGGACTTACCCGAATAATTTAAAATATAGAAATATTTAATTTTTTTTATTTAATAAAAAATATACAAATAAAAAGTATAGGAACCTTGTTTCCTGCAAGAATTTTATATACCAATTTATTCCACATAATTGATTGATATCATATTTACACCCGATCCGGCCGAATTTTTTTTAAAATATTAGACACCCAAATTATTTTAAAAATACACCCGAAGCCCTTTTGGGCAGGGATTCGCAGATCTCTATTTGAGATTACATTTTGATTGAACATACTTTTAATCTTTTTTATTTGGCGAATATAGAAGCTTTCTGCAACTATCCCAGTATGGCGAGATATTTTATAAATAAATTTAATTTTGATAACTTTTTTTATTATTATAAGATTAAATAATTAGATCTGCAGAAATTGCACTTTACTTAGGCATTTGTTTGCTAAACACTTCCAATATTTTAAATTCACAATTTTAAAAAAAATTTAAAACTTCCCAAAGCCAATAAAAAAACTCGAATATTAATTAGTTTGCCAAAAATTTTAAACGCTAAATAAATTATTATTAAACTACCCATCTTAATTACTCCCTATGTTAGTTTTAAAAAAACACTTGCAAATTAATTAATCTACCAAGAATTTAAGATACCTACCAAACAATTTTTTTATACTGCCTAAAGTAATTTATTTTACTGCCAGAGATTTTGTATAACCTCAACATAATAGCCATTTTTCGTTCAAATATTCATTTTATTAATATGTCTTAATGTGTTTTGATATTTATTTTGATATGTAAATTGATTCCGTTAATATATAGTAAATTTATTTTAATTTAAATTACATTTAAAGGGAACATATAAATTTGTAATTTTGAATGCTAAAATGAAAGATAGAAATAAAAGAAGAAATAACTTTCACAACCCTAACATTTCTTATTTTAAACTCCGGATTGTTTTTGATTAGTTTTTCAAATTAAATATTTGAATAAGCTAAGAAAAAAAATAACAGTAGTTGGATATCAATGAAGTGGGGTAGTGCAAACTATAAATTATTTGTACCTTTTTTATTATAGCTGTTTTAAGGTTTTCTTGGAAATTTTTACTTTGTGTTCCAAGGGTTAAAGTTTTAAACATTAAACATCCTATTTAAAATAAACACAAATCAGAAGGCAGAACGCGATTTTAGTTTTCCATATAAACAAATTTGCATTAAAATTTTATAAAAAAGAAACCCAAATGTAGCGTGTCACCACTTAGCAGCTGATTTGCATTAAATGATTCTTCAAATTGCATTCAATCTAGTTAAGGATTATATAGCATTGATCAAACCTAGAAAGAAAGAAATAAGTTAAAACTTTCAGAAGTTTTAAATTTTTAATTAAATTTTAGATTCAATTTTCTACAAGAATATGATTTTTATATTTAAAACAAACTTATTTCTTCTTTTTCGATAAAATTTCACAAGTTTGTCAATTGGATTTTTAAGAATTTGAACACAGCCTTATTTCAAAAATATTTTTATGTTTTTACTTTTGTTTTCCGAATCTATTCTTTTCTTAATTTTTTTTTAAGAATTTCCTTTTTGTTTTTTTAAATTAATATTTATAAAAAAATTAATTATCAAATCAAATAATTCGATAAATATTATTAAATTATTTTATTACAATCATTGCAGAGATTTGAACCAAACCCGGTTAAACCCGTTTTTATGGTAGCATGTTTAAGTTATACGTAGATCTTCCAAGCTGTGCATTGAATGATCGACATATTTTTAAATAAGGATTTGTTAATTTGCTCAGATCGTAAAGGTATTCAAATTATTGATTTTTTGCAGTCGAGCTCTTTCATAATCCCCGAAGAAAAAATAATTTTTTTTCAAGAGGGGGGGGATTTCCGTGATTCGAATTAATTAGTTGCTTGAATTTTTATTTTAAAATTTAAAAAAAACAGCATTTTTTTTTAAATTTAAAAAAGCAAACATTTTCATAAAATTACACGTGCCGTTATTATTCTAGTATTTACATAAAAATAATGTTTACTTTTTTTAAATAAGAATTTTATGATATCGTTATTTTATATTGTAAAAATTCGTTCATTGATTAAATAATTATTGTAACAGAATTTGTATAAAATCTTGATAAAAAAACAAAAAATTTTAAATATATTTTCAGGGATTAAATTTTTTTAAATTTAAAAAAAATTAGGCTTACTAAAGAAACAGGCTTCGAAGCTATTTTAGGCGAATTTTGTTCAATTATATTTAACTCTTTCTTCCGCTCCACCTTAATTCCCCCCTCCCCCCAACACATAAAGAACATATTTAGAACGTTTTTATTAATCAAATTAAAGTGTTTTTCTTAAAAATGTTGCAATGATTACATGTTGCAAAATTTACAATTTATTTTTTTGAATGATAAGAAAACAATAAAATATCTGCGATTTTTAGATTTTTATTCAATCCTAGAGGAATAAACTTAACCCCTAATAATCAATGCTCTATCTTATTAAATTTTAAAACGAGATTTTGGCAAATGAATATTTGATTTCCTTCTTGTTTTTATCCATCCCCAATGTAGGTCCGCTTATTTTTCTATAATTTTCTTTCCCTGCTCCATCAATCCTTTGACTTGATTATTTGAGATTTAAAAACTAATAGCCATTTTATATATATGACGTCTATATATTCAACGACGAATTTACTACTTATGTATGTAATAGAGGGAAAGATCACTGGCATATAAAAACGCGTCCAGTTTATCTAATAAAGTTCTTAACATATTATATTCGTTGAATAAGGGTTTGTCGGCTACCTTTCATATTTTTTTGCACTGGATTTAGGATGCGCCTATTATACTCATAAATGCTGATATTGTCATGATAGATGTTATCAAATCTTTTTAATATTGTCATTGACATCTTTATTATAGTCTAGAGCCCTCTTTTCCTTTAAAAGAAAATAGACTTTTGATAATTATTCAAACGATGCCTACCTTTAAACAAATGGACTTTAGTATCCCCGACATAACAATTAACTATTTTCCTTTGAATTGACTGATTATAATTACGTAAACCTAAATTTTATTAACTCAATACTAAATGATAAATTTATTAAAATATTACATTTTAGCGATGATCTAGCTTTCGATATCATTGGCTACATATTTATATTTGGGAACGACGTGTTCACGGCTTTGAATGGCGTTATTGTTAAGAAGAAGCTCGAAAACAAAGTATATTAATAAAAATATATATACTCACTATGATTCCTCATTATATGCATTCTGTCATTTATTAAAGGAACCTTGTTAAAATCATATCTTAACAAATCCACTAGTTTTTTATCGATCTTTCTCATCCGCTTACTCATATATCGTCAAGTTTTTACCATTTTCTTGATATAATGCCTCCCTCTTCATTCCATATATTATTAATCATTTTCCTCGCTCTTGTTAATGATCATTCTTATATAAAAAAATTATTGTCTCGCAATCATTTTATACACCCAGAAGCTTCCAGTTAAAATACAGCCCTTTATGCAACAAAACTCACGTGTACCGCCACTTTAACACAGACCACCTTTATTCTTAAATATATGTGATCCTTTTTTTTTACTTGACCAATTTTGTAGTCATCCTTAAACCATTTTTTTCTTTTAAATTTTTAGTCTTATTCCAATTTACATACACTGTTTTCCTGCCACTAGTCTTTACTTAAAATCTCCCTAAGATATTTAATAACTTTTCTATCTCTAATCTTCCAGTAAAATGTATCTAATCACCATCTTTCCCTAAATTTCTTACTCTTTGGTAGCTATTTCCATAACACCATCTCCCACTTTCCTAAAACATTTTCGCAATTCTTTTCGACGTAAAATATTTTTAACCACTCCTTTCCTTCTCCTATTTCTTATTAAATGTCTCAAAAGATGGTTATTTTCCAGTTCCAGTTTTCATTAACATGTACCCGCTTTATCGATATTATTTTTATATGCTTAATAAAATATATCTTTCATAAAGTCATGAATTAACCAAAATTTTTCTAAAAATATTTAGTGGATTTTCCTAGGGGATTAATAAAAACGTGGTCACATCACCCCCCCCCCTCCCATAAATTTAATTTAAAATATTTTTTTATTTGAGAAAAAATTAACTTTTCTTAAGCCTAAATAAGGCTTAACAACATTGAAATGAAAATTTTAACTTTGGTGGATCAATTTTTTTTTTACCGTAAATTTATTATATTAGATTAAATTATCCCATCCATTTTTTTAATAATAAATATTTTCTCATGTATAGGAAATTGGTAAATATGGTCTGATATTCTATAATTCTTTCTTCGTGATACCTTTTGCTCTCATTTACGCATTTTTAGATCAAGAACACGTAAAGGTAAGCCAGCACAGCGATTTAATGAATATTTTTAGGCATATAGGTTTGTTACCCAGAGATCGATCTGTTATTGCCAATTGTCAAATTTATGTTGGGCGATAATCGATATCAGCTGATTCCTTTATATTCTAACTTTATTATAAATTAAAATTTTTTTTTAACTATGTTTGAAATTTAATATACCTATTTCTTATGTACCGATCGATATATCAAAATGACGGATATAGTGAGAAATTTTTTAAAAATATAGTTCTTATAACTTTTTAAAGAATGTTAGTTTTGCTTAATATATTGTAATATTTATTTATAGGAATATTTTTGATAGATTTTCTAAAATTAGGATCGGCTGATATCAGTAATTGGCAGATATCAATTTTACTCTTTGTTTGTTTTTTGAAAACCTCAAATTAATTTGTTTTATCTGAATATAAAATTTATTTATATTTTATATATTATATAAAATTTCTTTATTATTTTAAAATTTTATTAAATAATAATGCAATTATGTGTTGTTATATAAGTACTCAAAAATCATTATAAATAATATCACAAATCTTTTTAAAAAAATTGACATATAGATAAAAATGATTTTGGCCACCAGATAAATCGTGAATTAATTTTTACCACCAAATAAAACATTAAAATTAATTTTAAGCACAAAATATTGATTCGTATCATCAGAGATTATCAAAATTTTATAAATAATCAGTATGATTTAAAAAGCACTTGATCCTAAATTTATCAAATTTTGCATAAATAAATATACCGAAAAAATAGTTATATTGTTATTATAATTCTAAAGAATGTAATGTCATATTAAGCCAGTTAATGAAGAGTTAATATCGTTAAACTCGTATCGGTTTCTAAAAGGCAATTACACTTACCCTGCACTCACAGTTAGCGCCAATTCGCGGCGTAGTATAAAAATTAATGTTAATTTTTTATACGTCGCCGCGAATTCACGCTTAATGTTAATGCAAGGTTACGCTGCATTTAAGAGTGATTCGCTCAAGTGATGCGTTTGAAATATGTCGCAATATCATTATTTCGTTCAGTGTTTTATAAATTAAACCCATTATTAGCTTGATTATGAAAATTACTTAACTAAAAAAAATGATCCAATATTAACAATGATTATAATTTTTTATCAGAATTTTTGTAATGTCGCATCAGCCGACTTAAAAAAATGAACGAGTTCGATAAAATATATATCCCTTATTTTATACCTCAATTTTTTATAAGATTTATTTAAATTAATAATTGCGAATAGTGCACAAATTAGAACAAGTTGCACTTAAACGTTACCTAATAAAGTTTGTTTTTTGGTCATAGTTTTTGATTTATATATATATAATTTACGTGTTTAACCCGAAAACAATCTAATTAATTATCTTTTATGGGTTATATTTTAAATTTAAATTCATTTTATATATCCTTTCATGTATTAACTACAGATTTAATGTTTTCTTAAGTAGGAGTGGTTGGTAAATATAGGCCACTATGTAACTAATATACCTGGTTTAACAGATATCTAATGAGTCCCATTATGAAAGTTATTTAATTTTTTTTTTAATTTATCTACATTCTTGCCCTTAGGATTATATTTATTATATTCTATTGTATGACTAGTATTTTTTACCCCCTTTTGTTTATATTTGAAATACATAGGAAGGAAACATGTGACACTTTGTGTTTTATCTTGAGTTTTTTGTACTTATGGATTTTTTACAAAGATATTAATTAATTAAAAACTATATAGTTAAGTCCCTGGGATCGTCCTGAATTCGGGGGTATAATTATAATCTCGAGCAGTAAGGATGGTTGGGGGGGGATCCGTTTTATTCTAAATTATATAAGATAATAATACCACAAATCGACTTTTAAAAATGATCCTTTTTATGATTGCGCCGTTTATTTTCGTTTACCATGCCAGGATCTATTTATAATTGTGGTTTATTAAAATTTTATGATTAATCAAAAAATTCTTAAAATATTTAGTTATCCATGACGCGTACAAGGGTTAGAAGAACCCTCAAACAGAGTTGGGCAGTACCGCGAATACTTGTATCTTAGTAGTTACAAGATCCTTTTGTATCTTGTACTCAGTATCTTTTTGACATTTTTATCAGATTGGCGAAACTGTCATATAGAAAAAAGTTGGAACCTAAAAAATATAATTAAATACTAAAATATAAATTAAAAATCTTTATTAAATGCTAATAATTAAATATAAGTGAAAACATAACCAAAAATAAAAGAAAAAAATTAATATAAGAAAAAGTAAAATACTAAAAAGTATATGCTAAAAAAAATAAGTTTTTTAACAAGTAAAAATATCCTCAATTATATATCTTTTTCTATAATATTCATTTATAGTCTGAAATTAAATAATATAATAATTTGCATAAGACATTTCTTTCGTTTTTGATTTTGTTTAAAAGTAGATTTGAATATTACAACAATTTTTAATAAGATACTATCTATATCAAAGAGTCTCTCTTCTAAAAAGAATCCTGTATCCTTTTCATATATATATTCTTTTTAATGTTCATGTTTAAAAAATTTATATTATCACAGAATATAACCTTATTTTCTTCATGGAATCTTGTATTAATTTCTTTATTTTCTTTCCGCCATATTTTAAATATTTTGACAACCAAAATTAGTTGGAAAATTTACATCTCACATTAAGATAATAATAAATGATGGTTTTGGCAAAGGTTTTGGGAAAATTTTTCCTATAAAGATGAATCTAATGAGGCTTTTTGGCATCGTTATCCCATCTATATTTTTAGAACTTATGGATTAAATCGGATGATAAAATAATAATTTTTAAATATATTATTAAAAGAGGCTCGATTATGATTAATTTTCTTTTGGTAAAACAAATGTTGCTTAGTTCAATAAAACAGATAACATTGAGCTGGAGGTTTTAAAATATTATAGACTGTTGAAATACATTAGAAATGCCTTCATCAGCTCCAGTTATAAGGTTATTGCACAATGTTAAATACGGTGAAACGACAAAGGGTTATGAAAAATTATTTGGAAAATTGACTATCTTAAAAAATAATGATTGATTTATTTAATCTATTTTAAATATTCTTTTGCAAAATTTCAATTCCCATTTAAAAAACTAGTTTCCTTTCCTTGTTTATACTATGAATGGGTTAAAACTAATATGAAGAGGCCTGATTAGTATAATTAACATGTCATTAAATATTTTATTAATTATTGTAAATATTCATTCTTATTATATGCGGAGTTGATCTGAATAAATCATGGCTTTCTTTAAATCGCAGTTGCTTGGATTTCCACCATTCCGCATTTTTGTTTTATTGTTGTTTTGTATCCAGTTTCTTAGAGAGTAGTGAGCTTGATTTGGTGGCTCCTCCATTCCAGAAATAGATTCATTGATTTTATGACTACATTTAGGGCGAAGGCATTTTTTTTTATTTTCAATGTCGTCTGTTATATTCAGGGTTTGTAACCGGAACCGGTGTAAATAATTACACAATGGTTCCAGTGTTGAATTTTTCATGATATTAGCGGTCTATACCCCATGGCGTAAGCTGAAATAACGGGACTTCTGTCATTATATGGTAGGCCTATTCAAATTCGAATCGAATAGTGCTGTATTCATATTCGATTCGTTTAAACGAATCGAATAATCTACTATTTGAATTCGTACGAATAATAAAATCTACTATTTGTATTCGATTCAAATATTTCGAATTAATTTTTTTAATAAAATAAATCATACTCAAATATAGTGTTGTTAATCGACTGAGTCGAGTCGACTTAGTCGAAAACTGAGTCTAAGTTTTGGGTCGAAAAAATCGACCCAAACTGACTTGAGTTATGAACTCGAGTCGTGAACTCAAGTCTATATACTTGAGTCGACTAGAGGACGAATATTTTTATAAACTTGAGTCATCGACTAGAGGACGAATATTTCAAATTAATTATTAATAATTAAGATTTGTTCTGTTTTTTACATTTTTTTATTTTAGACTTCCAACTTGAGATTTAAATAGGAATAATATACTTTAGTCAACTAGAGGACGAATAGTTCTATGAACATGATTCGACTAGAGGATGAATATTTCAAATTAGTTATTATTAATTAAGATATTTGTTGTTTATTACTTTTTTTATTTTAGACTTCCAACTTTAGTTGCAAATAGGAATTATATACTTGAGTCCACTAGAGGACTATAAGTTATACTTATATGAACGTGAGTCGACTAGAGGACGAATATTTCAAATTTTATTAATTAAGATATTTGTGATCTATTTTTTACATTTATTTACTGTAGACTTTCAACTTGACACCATGAATATAAAATATATAATTGAGTCGACTAGATGACGAATATTTCATATTAGTTATTATTAATTAATTTATTTGCTCTGTTTTTACACAGGATAATTATAATGACCAATATTGTTTGTTAGCTGTTTTAATTTTCCACCTATTAAAATAAGATTAAAATTTTAATGTAATGTGCAGATACACATGGTATATGTACCTGGATTACGCTAAAACACAGTTTTTACGTCGTAAGAAAGCAAATCTACTCAGGCCTAACTGTATATCGTTATGAGTCTCTCTAAAGTGAATGAAAAGTTCTTTAATATTACATAAAATTAGCCTTTTCTGCACTTGATATTTTCCTATTTACATATAAAATTATTTTTGCCTGCATAAGTAGTGTTGTTAATTGGTTGGTTGTGTAGAGCCCAGACCCGGGGTTTGAGTATAAAATATCGACAAAACCAGCTCTGAGCACGAACCTCGAGCACAGACCCGGCGTTCAGACCCAAGGTCCAGATCCGGATAGATGGCACTATCGAAAACTCGATGCTTAGACAATTGTTTTCTGGTTAAAATATTGATTTAGCCGTTTTTAAAAATCGGCTCAAAAATAGCCGTTTAACAACACTAATGGAAATCCTGATCACATTATTTAATAAATATATATTTTATTATATCATTG